AGTAGCCGCACAGCGGTAGATGAACATTGCGGTCAAAGGCGAGGGAGACTGGAATGACAGTTTCTTGCTCATTAGCTGTCATCAGCTAGGCGCGTTGGATAGGTCGCGGATGGTGCAGTACCTGGGGTTGAGTATGACTGACTCCAAACGATTAATGCGCCGGAAATGGCCATTTCAATCACTGCAGTCTTTGTCTTTAATGATCTTCTGCCTGCAAAGTGATATTTTGTTCCTGAAAGGCGCTTTGGGGCAATTTATGCGCAAGACTTCACATCTCCCATTATTAAAAGTCAGCATGGCAATCGTTTCTTTTGAGTGCTGTTGAGTTTGCCCATGTGTAAGCAAGAGCGTACGATGGGCGCATCTCCGGCACTCGGTGATGTTCTCATGACCTCTGCGATCTTCTCCTCGTGTGACCCTTAGGATATTAATAAAAACCGCGATGGGCTCCTCCTGACATGCTTCAAACACTTTTAGCAGCAGGCTATCCGATTTGCAAATACTCTACCCCCCACCCCTCCTCCCCCCACGGGCGACAGTTTTTCTCCTTTAAATCCCGCAAATGGTATTAAAAGCCCCTAGAATTCTGAACAATGCCTGAGGAGTTTTTTCCTGTCTGCCCTTTTTACGCAGTTCCATTACTGGCAACGCCACGTTCTGCATCATAGCTGCTCTGCACCAAGAGGGGGTTGTAAGGTATTTACCAATATTTCCCTAATAAACCTGACCTGACCTGAAATACCGTTACTCCATATTCAGTGGCCTACCGGAGTTTCACTGAATTCTTTAATGTGAAGCTACGTACTGGAACAAATCGCAGCAGTGTCTGCTTCTCTTGTGTTAATTGTCAGTTTTACTGGGGGAGCTTATAGCGATGGCAAAGCTACCGGTTATTGCCATGACGATGTCCTTGTGCGTCTCCCAACAATACTGCTGATTACGGCCTGTGGCCCAGGCTAGAAACTACTCCCCCCCTCCCGCCGGTTAATGCCATTCCCAGGTGACTTAACGGCTATTAAGTCTTACAAATTTGCACTGAGGGTAGAACCCAAGCCCTGTAATATGCCACAGAGGAAGGAAAAACTTTTAACTTGTGGCAGTAAAGCTGGCGCCGTCTAACAGTTAAAATGTATACTAATGGAATTGTGGGTTGACTGTGAGTGTAACCGATTCCGACTCTGTCTGGACAGCCAAAAAATCATGCTGGAGCTCTGTTATAGGGTTTCACTCCGGGGGAATTCAACCGGTGAATATTTCGAGCGATAAGATTCGGTGATGATGTTTGCTGTCTCTAAGCCAACCAGTAAAAAATGGCCAGTGAAACGGTAAAAGAATGCGGATACATTTCCCTTCAAAAAAGATTAAGACAAGTCCTCATGTCGCAGGTGAATAAAACAACAAGACCCTACCGCTATTAGTTTTGTTAAAGCTGATTTCGCGAGTTGGATGTTAGCAGGTTGTCTGTAGATGGCTTTACCGCCTGTCCGTTTCATTTGCCTGTTTCCAGATAAGAACAGCCGGTTGGAAAGTAGGTCTTCTGTGACCACATTATTTCAGTCCCTTTTGTCGCCGTTGCTAGTTCGTTTCCCCTTTGATGTAGAGTTGAACCTCGGCAGATAAGCAGCTCCATCTGCGAGCATTTTAGGCAATGTACGAACCACTCGCGGCAAATTTGACGAGCTTTCGCTCAGTTAACGAGCTGTCAGTGCTTGTATCCGCCATTAAGTCTTGTTCCCCGGGGCGTGGGTGCTCGGTCGCCGGCAGCGTGGATCAGTGAACTGATGTAGTTTGATGGGCTACCTATTGCAAGACGACTGTCTAGCATGACGAGCTCTGTGTCGGAACGGATTAAATTGGCTAGCCGAAGTTCCAGTGTACTTTGAGTTTACGTTCCTCCCTCCTCCCCCCCCCTCTCCACCCTCGAGGCTTTAAGTTAAAAGCTTAACTTCTAAATCTGAGTGCGACGGAAATGTCGCGTTTTGTTTCCATCCTTCCTTGCGAGCTTGACTCACGGAGAACGGTTTATTTAAGGGCATCACATTGGCTGCAATACTCCTCCCCCCAGCCCCCTTCGTTAGTAGTTGCTTTATTTTTGCCTGAAAATCAGTTCTTTTAAGACAGAGCAAGTAAACGCCTCTACTGCATGTGTCCATTTTGCCTCTGGTTCCACTAGGCTGCGGCACTTCTTACAGCTG